GGTTCAAAGCCAGCCCGGGCAGGAAAGACAGTGAGACTCCTATCTCCAATAAAACCACCGGAAAACCAGAAGTGGCGTTGTGGCTCAAGTGGTAGAGCGCTCGCCTTGAGCTGAAGAGCTGAGGGACAGCGCCCAGGCCCAGAGTTCAAGCCCCACGACCGACAAAAAAAAAAGGAAAAGAATTCCAATGAATAGGAGTAAGAAAGCTGATGGCTGAGAATGATGGCTTAAATGTTGATTTTTAAAAAATCATATTTTCACTGGCCACCAATGGCTCATATCTGTAATTACAGCTACTCAGCAGGCTGACATTTGAGGATCATGGTTTTTAGTACAACCAGTCCCAGCAGGAAAGTCCATGAGACTCTTATCTCCAATTAACTACCAAAAAGTCCGAAGTGGAGCTGTGACTCAAGTGGTAGAGCACTAGCTTTGAGCAAAAAAGCTACGAGACTGTGCTCAGGCCCTGAGTTTCCAGGACAGATGGACACACACACACACTCACATCACATCACATCACATCCTGTCATGCTGATGTTAACAGATTGACTCACGGATGCACAGCAGAGTCTTTGACCCACAGCCCTTGCAACTGTTAGTGCAGGCAGCTAGGTAGTCATGATGAGGAATTCTGAATGCCTGGGCTACAGGATTCCAGAGGGCCCTCACCCGGGGTGGGTGATTAACATAATGGCCCCATATCTTCCTGATGACATTCCACCAGCACTGCTCATCTGAGGCCGGCAAAAGAGGATCAGGTGGTGCGGGTGATGACTCTCACACCCAGGTGACCTCGGCCCAGTCCTTGTACCACCTGGTTAGGACCTGAAAGGGAAAGACCTCAGTCCCTTGCCACCCAGTAACCCTGTCTTATTGGAGAAAACCCCAATCACCAACCACTTGCGCTTCGGTCCTTCCCCTGTATGCGCCTTCACCCTCAAGGTGTACTTTTCCTTTGCTAACAAGTCAGTCTTTACTATCTTCCTGCTTTGCGATTCATTTGCTGAACCTGGGGTAGCATCCCAACCTTTGATGTTGTAACCAAGAGCTGAGGAACATCTGGAATACCTGTCATTGCTAAGCAACCAGTAGAAAATGACAGTCCCCGCCTTCTAACCACCCAGTAAGTACCCTCTATAACAACTCCTCTAGGAGTGGATGCTAGTCCTCCCAGTTTTTTGGGATCATCCCCATGTCTGCAAACCCCAATAAGAGTTTGAGGTCTTAGGACCCTCAGAACAGTGCTCCTTGGCCCTGCCCACACTATCTGGAAGACAGACTTTTGCTTTGCTTTGCATTAATAAACCTGCTCCTACTTAAGTCTCCTCTGTGTCGATCCTTGAATGCTGTGACAAGACCAAGAGTTTTCTGGCCCCTGAGCCTGGTGTCATGAATCCAGTTAGCACCATGATAATCTCTATCTTGCCAAATCCAATGGTCGACTCCCCATTCTCATCTCATTCTCTTAATGGTTCTCTGCTCCCCTGCTTCTTCCCCAAATTCTCCACCTGCTTTCTTCTCCAGTCTTCTAAAGTACTGCTCCCTCCTGGTTTTCATTCTGTCTCTCTAACCAGGCCTCTGTCAGATTCTTTTTCTGAAACCTATTAGACCTTTCTTCTTCTCTATGTACATACTCGTCCAAAGTGATCTCTGGCCCACAGGCTTAAGACCAAGTAGACGTAAGTGACTGTCAACTCTGTTTCTCCAGGTTCCTCTTAAAGCTGTAGACTAGACTATCAATACAACTAACTTCCTGCTCCATCGCTCCACGTGGACAGCTTACAGCCAATCAAACAGAGCTATTGATTCCTCCCTACCCACTGTCTTCATTCACATCAAAGCTATTCCTCCCTCAGTATTTCCCATTTAGGAGTTTGTATTATTGACTTGAACGCCCCCTTGCCCTATCTAATTTTAGAGATTATATCTGGCTGGCTGTCACCTCTTTCCTCTAAGGAGACAGGCAACCAGGGCGAAGCAACAGCTCCTCCCTGACCATATTGTCCCAGTCTTCTTCCACCATTTTTCTGCACTGCCCTCAGACTGGGGACTCACTTCTGGCCTCACAACAATGGAAAAGAAAGAAGGGAAGTAACAAAATGAAAGGCATAGAGCTTATCATGGAAAGAGCAAACCGTGCCCAGAAGTTCCTAGCTTAGCTCTCATTGTCCAGAACTGTGTTCTAAGCCTAACCCCAGCTGAACAAGCTGGGAAGCAGAGTTTTTGAGCTGGGCACCTTGATGTGCTGTAGAATTTGGGGTTCTGCTGGAGGAAAGAAAGGCCAAGTGGGTATCAGGTAAGCAAATAGTGGCTGCTCTGCCATCCATCTTGACCAGTGCTAGCCTAGCAGTCTCTCCTCCAGAACACCTTACTTCAACTGCTTCTCCTGGTCTCCATTGCTCTATACTGGCTTAATCCATTGTCTCCTAGCTAGACCACAGCCACCGGCCTCCTAACTCATCCACCCTCTACCACTGTCCTCTCCCTCTCCCTCTCCCTCTCCCTCTCCCTCTTTCTTTTCCCCTCTCTCTCTGCAATTTTCTCTTCACCCCGGACCTAGGGTAGTGATTTTAAAAAATAAATACAATTGGCCCACAACCTTCCTTCAAGTTCTCCACTAGATCTATCATAGTTCAAAAGTCCCTGGAAGCAGACCCCAAGCTAAGGAATTATATGTGAATCTCATGTTATCAAGGTGCAGGGGACAGCTTGGGGCAGTGTGGTGAGACAGGAAGCAAGAGACCCTCCCCAGGGTCTGCTGAGGCTCCGCCCCAAGGGAAGCACTAGCAAAGAGTGTAACAACACTTACTTGCTCAGGATTATCCAACCCAAGGAGCATGAAAGGGTAGTCACATACCATCTCCCAGGAGTTACTGGCTTCATCTCTCTTGGCTTTGGCACCCAGCCCTGAGCCCATCCCTTTCCTGCTGCCAAGTGCTCATCCATAGGCAGCAATTTCTTTTTATGTGTATGTATGTGTGATATGATGTGAGTGTATGTGTGTATGTATCATGATGGTGGTACTGGAGCTTGAACTCAGGGCCTGGGCACTGTCTCCAAGTTCATTTGGATCAAGGCTGACACTCTACCACTTGAGCCATAGCTTCACTTCCAGCTTTTTGCAGGTTAGTTGCAGATCAGAGTTTCACAGATGTTTCTGCCCCCCAGGCTAGCTTTAAATTACAATCCTCAGATCTCAGCCATCCTGAGTAGCTAGGATTACAGGTGTGAACCCACGAGCACTTTGTAGCTTCCATTTAAAAAAGAACCATGGAAGTGTGTGGAAATCCAGTTAATCTCTTTAATAGGGAAAGCATTTCAAAATACAATCAAAGGGTGACAAATAAGTTGGCTCCATTTTTGTCTCATTCAACAGGGACAAAATTTTTGTGATGTTCTTTATTGGACAAATGAGTCTGAATGACATTTTTAATAATACAAGTACATTTTAAATAAGGCATAAGATTTAGAATGGTCTTGTAAAGTCAGTATTTTAAGGTACACATAATTTAATAATACTAGCAAGTAATTATACCGATATCTGTATGTGACATTACTGTGTCTATAGCTACGATGAGTATATATAGATGAAAAGTAAGGAAATAACTGGATCTGTTTCTGTTCCTGCCTTTCATTTCACTTCTCTTCATTTGCCTTTCTTCTTCAATTGCTCTACAAAGTAATCATTACAAGCGACTGTCAGAGCTGCCACCATGACCACAAATTCATTAAAATCCACTTCGTTGTCCTTATTGGCATCCAGGTCCTGCATTATCTTATCAACCAACTGGGGGTCCTTTTGGCACTAAATAAAAAATAAAACAAAGGAAAATTTCTAATTCCATGCCTTTGAGATTCAGGAGGAAAATAAAGATTGCATCTTCCACTGACTTACTTGAAAGTTTTCATTTCCATTTTCGGCAGCTTAAGACCCTACTTAAAGGAAGACCCTACTTAAAGGCACAAGTTCTCAGTAAGTCTGGCCCTGATCCCAGGTCCTTGTAAGGCCGGCTCACGCCTATACAGGCCTAGAAGAGCAAACAGCGGCTGATGCTGGAAAGGCATCTGCTGTAGCTCAGAGGTGAGGATCAGGCCCCGGAGGCAGTCAGGAGACAGCTAGACAAAGGTTTTGAAGCCAAAGGGAGTTCTAGCAGTCACCAGTAGTACGGTTGTAAGCAATCGCTAAATGTTTACGGTTTCCTTTCTTTTTTCTTTTTTCTTTTTCCTTTTGCTGATTCTGGGGCTTGAACTCAGGGCCTAGGCACTATCCTTGAGCTTTTGTGCTCAAGGCTAGCACTCTACCACTTGAGCCATAGCACCACTTCCAGCTTTTCCTGAGTAGTTTATGAGAGATAAGAGTCTCACAGACTTTCCTACTAGGGCTGGCTTCAAACTGCAATCCTCAGATCTCAGCCTCCTCAGTAGCTAGGATTACAGGTGTGAGCCACCAGTGAATTTCTCTTAATCATAAAATGTTGAGAACAATATCTACCCTCATGTTTTAAGGACACTTCAACATGTTTTTGAAAATGCTTAGCACCAGGGCTGCTAGACTGAGTGAATAGAAATACAGGATGCAACTAGTTAAATTTTGAATTTCAGATAAGCAATAATAACTTTTCTTGGTGTGGGGGGGGTCAGTCATGGGACTTGAATGTTGGGACTAGGTGCTGAAATAATTCTTATTATAAGAATGCCCCATCAATATTTTATTGAAATCAGTTCCTATGGACTTTAAAATATATTATGGAGAATTAAAATCATTAAAATAATATTGTGGAGAATTTATAATACAGATGTGTATATATGTGTGTATATACATACATGTATTGTGCATATATACATATCTATACACACACACATATATAAGTATATGTGTATATAACTTTCAGCTTTTCCCAGAGGATGGAGAGAATAGAATGCGATTGCAATCACTGTGGTCATTGTGGTCATATTGCAGAGTTTGAACAAAACGACATCATGCAACCGTAGCACGCTGGACTAACTCAATTCAAGGCAACTCCATAAACATCAGTGTGATATCTCCCTCAGAGGAGACTCCAAGCACTCACCATAAAGCTTATACATAGCTTTATTAGTCTCCTAGCTATTTGGAAATGTGAATCTGTTTGCTAACCTACTGGCCACAAGCCATATACAAATAAAGATATGTTACTACATCATAAAGCATCCCAGGGCTTCATTTCAGACCCAATAGGTAACATTCATGGATAGACAGCTATATACAGCCCCAACATCTATAACTAGTCTTAACCCATAACTCCTAGGTTGACCAGCTGTATGGCTGCCTGGTGTGCCAGAACACTGCATAATGGATGAAGATCTGCAACACTTGGAAAGCCTAACCCCAGACAATAGGCAAGAATACCTGGGCTGGGAAGGTAGCTTAGTTGTAGAGTGCTTGCCTAGCATGCCTGAAGCCCTGGGTTCAATTCCTCAGTACCACATAAACAGAAAAGGCTGGAAGTGGTGCTGTGACTCAAGTTCTAGAGTACTAGCCTTGAGCAAAAGAAGCTCAGGGACAGAGCCCAGACCCTGGGTTCTAAACTTAGGATTGCCAAAGGGAAAAAAACAAAACAAAACAAAACAAGAATACCTGCCATGTACACAGTAAACAAAGGACTCTAGTGTTTGCTTCCTCTCAACCTGAAGTGTCAATACAAATGATGATGTGCTTGGGACAGAGTTGCAGAAAAAGGTGACAATGAAGAAACCATACCACACCCAGCCTCAGCCGGATGAAGCAGAAAACTTCACTCACCGAGAGGAATTCCGTGAGCTCTCGCTGGAGGAGCAGCTTCAGCTCGCCCTTGTTGAGCTTGAACCTGTCCCCCTCCTTACAAGAGTAGCGGTGGAAGATTCGAATCATGGTGTCCATAGCCACCTCCAGCTGGGTCGGCATGTCGGCCGCAGGGAAGACCGCTTTCAGAGCAGTCCACCAAATCAGGGAGCGAGAAGTCGCTTGTTCAGAGTAAACACAGGGAGAGACATGGACACTGTCAGGAAAACAAAGTACAACCATCCCCCAGTCATCCCACCACCCAGGTGAGAGTTGCTAAGACCATCATGCTCTTCCATGGAAGACCCCTGGTCAGGGCTGAGCCGCAGGTAAGAACTGTGTGGGTGAGCTAACTCCTAACTCCCTAACTCCCACCGCCCCAAGATGCCGAGAGGCAGTGTGTTCACGAGTTACAACAGAATCAAGCACACAATCCTGTTACTGTATAGACTGATAAATGTAGTTAAATGTCTTACCTGTTCAGCCAGTGCACGGTCCAGCCAACAGGTGTTTACAGTTAAATTAGGAGCCTTTATACCGGGGCTTCCACCCTGGCACACCTGTTCTGCACAAATGAAAATTACCAATGATGGGAGAGCCAATCGGCGGTGCTTCTGCATCTGTTTTTAATCAGCAGAATGAACAGGTGTGTATCAGTGTCCCCAGGGCCGTGGAGGAAGGCTGGAGGTGGTAGGGAGGGAAGGAGAAAACCTTTCCTTCTCTGTCATTTGGGGGTATGGATACAAATGAAGGTTGTTGCTAGGAAGCTGATGGCTGGGAAGACCTCTAAAGATAGAGGCTCAAGGAGGAAATTCTGGCTCAAACCTGGAGAGTCTTTAGCAAAGCCAGAAGCAAGGTCTAGGGAATGAACCCAGAGCAGACTAGATCCATGAAGCCAATGTGTTGTCCAATATAAAAAGGGAAAACAGTGGAAGTTTTGTCGTGCTGATAGAGCAAGGTGCAAAGAGAAATAAAAATAAGACTGAGCACTCAGATTACAGGCTCACGCCTGTAAGCCTAGCTACTCAAGAGGCTGATCTGAGGATCATGGTTCAAAGCCAGCCTAGGCTGGAAAGCCCATGAGTCTCATCCTAGTGCTTGGGGAAGGAAAAGCAGAAGTATAGGGCAACTGGGAGCATACAGAATTAGCCATAGCAGATATGTGAAAATCAATACAGAGAGAAGAATAAAATTTAAACCAAAACACTGACAAAGCTGGGTGCCAGTGGCTCACATCTGAATCCTAGCAGGTCAGGAAGCTGAGATGTGAGGATCGCAGTTCGATGTCAGCTCAAGCCAGAAAGTGTAGGAGACTCTTATCTCCAATTAATCACCAAAACAAGCTGGAAGGAGAGCTGTGCTTCAAGGGGCAGAGTCCTCGCCTTCAACATAAAAACTCAATGCCTGGGCCTTGAGTTCAAGCCCCAGGATTGGGGGAAGAATTTAAAAAGTGGCAAATATTTAGAAAACAATTTGTTCAGCCCAGGGCCAGGCCCTGAAGGTTGAGCACTTGACAAGCTCGAAGCTCAGAGCTCTGCCACCGCCCTGATTTCAGATAATGGGTGACTCCTTCCTAGCCAAGGAGCGTGGTTCTCTAACAGTTGGTGCCCAAGGCCTCCATGTGCCAGCTGCCTCCAATGGTGCCGCCACTGGACATTTCCATCCATGCCTTCTTGACTCTGCAGGCAACCCATGCAGCCTCCACACTTGAGCCTCCACTGCAAGCCTCCACATCCCAAGCTGTTGTCCCATGTCACTGCCAGGGCTCTCAACAGTCACCTCTGGCATCTCGGCTGATAGTAAGCCCAAACTACGCTGTCTAGATGCAGGCGCGCAGGCTATGGGGCTCAAGCTGTCCCTGCGCATGTGCCGTGCTGCTGGCAGAGAGACCTCGCTCTAGGGCCCTGTTCCCACCCGCTCTGTGATTGTCTCTCGCCTGCCCTGTATGGCAAGGTGACCCAATACTCTCTGAGCTGTAATTCATTCTTTTTCCTTCCTCAGGCCCCCAGAGTCACTTAGTCTCCAACAACAGGCGCTCTCTCAAGATGGCGTCTCAAGATCAGCTTCTGGGATGAGGGAAGTGACAGAACGATCTTACCTCACCCAGGGTCTCCATCTGTCCACAAATGGACCCCAGTGTTGACCTCTCTGATTCAAATGCAGATCTGGACCAACATGGCCTCTTCACCCAAGCTTTCCTGCGTTCTTTCC